GTTATAAAGCAGAAACTAACACACCATTGTAAAGCAATTATACCCCAATAAAGATAAAAAAAAAAAAAAAAAAAAAGAAGGCAGAAACATCCAAGAGCTACACAGTCCACCTACTCAATAAACTTGCAGAGGCTGAAAACAAAGCCCAGCCTTTCCACCGCCGTCAGCTCTCATCCCACCCTGCCCCACCCCACTGCTCAGTCACTGCCCATGATGGGCCTCTGCTTCTGAAAAGCACGTGAACCTGGGGACCCCACATATATGTCGCCATTTCTCTTGCCTGTGGCACTTATTTGGCAGCCTAGCACAGTGGCTAAGAGACCCTGGAGCCAACCTGCTTGGGTTCAAGTCCTGGCTGAGCCGCCGGGAGCCACGTGACCTTGGGCAAGTTGCTTAGGCTCTCTTTGCGCCTCCGTTTCCTCACTTGTAAAATGGGAATGACGACGGTACCTTCCTTGGGGGCTGTTGTGCAGTTTAAGTGAGTTAACCTGTGTAAAGTGATTGGACCAGAGCCTGGTACAGAGTCGGTACCCTGCAAGGATAAGCTGCTCTTATCTCCCTGCCCACCTGAAATTCTATGTGCCTCTCCACTCATCCAAATCCACTGTCTTCTAAGAAGCTGAGGCAAATATTCTACCTTCCATTAGTCCACTTATAAACTCAGTTCCAACACCTGTGTTTTCTGAGGGTCTGTAATGTCCTGTGCTCCAGGAAAACGAGGATGAATAAGACCCAGCCCTGCCTTTGAGATCACAGCCAACGTGGGGAAACAGACAGATATTCCAACAAAGGTGATCACTGTACTCTGGCAAGAACTGGGAATTGGCATTACCCATTAAGTGCCCCCATGTCAGACTTTTTGCCTTCCTCTCCCAGCTCTCCTAAAGCACTTAGATATCCAATGTTTACACGATATTCTGCAGTCAGGGTGTTTGCTTTGTGTCCCATGAAGTATTTCACACATATACTTGTTTAACTGGATGGGAAGGAATGCATTCTGGGACTGGGCCTTCAAATTCTGGCCCCCAGTCCACTCCACCCAACAACCTCCTTTAAGCTACAGGGATCTGGAGGCTGCACATGAACTTGTGGTGGATCAGGATGTTCAAGCATCACTAGCGGAAAGTTCTCAGGGCCTGGGAAGCTGGGTTCCTGGTCTGGCATGACTTTGGGCTATTTAATTATTGCTGAGTTCTTTCCATATCTTCTTCACATATAGAAAAGGGCACCATGCATATAGAGACTAGTGTAGTGGTAATAACAAAAATAATAACAGTGGACATTCCGTGTGACTTTTCCATGTGCCAGGGACTAGAACAAGTGCTTTACATATTTCACATAATCCTCAAAACAGCCCTAAGAGGCAAGTATCATTATTACCTCACCTTGCAGTTGAAGAAACTGACATATGCAAAGAGGCCTCCGTAGAGCAAGGAAGAGGCACCCGAAATTGGTTCTCTGAAAATCTGGCAAGGCATTGGTGGAAGCCATTTTTCACTCTTCCACAGTCACAGTGTTTGGATGGCTGGTTCCAAGAATAAATTTTCAGATCCACCCAAAAGGAAAGGAAAAAGCCCTGAGTCAAAAGAGAAAGCCCCCAACAGGGGGGCTAAATATAGCCTATTCAGACACTGTCATCCCACAGATTCCAGTCTCATCGAAATCCCATTGGTCCTCTAAGATTGCCAACGTCTCCAAAAGCATAAAACCAGCATGCGTAAAAACGAACACAAAATATAAAACCAAATGGCTTTTTCCTTCTAGAGTTTATACTGAAGGTTTGCAGAGATGCACTGCTTCTAGGAAGGAGAGGGACCTAAAAAAAAATGTACCCCACGCTGAAAGAGGAGGGAGGAGGGCTAGGATCCATTATATTTTTAAACTTTTAACACACTGATTTCTGTTACTATCCCACCAGTGTAAAATTCAAGCCAACAGAGGCTCAGAGCAACACCCAGGCATTCAGAGCTTAGGGATTTAGGTTGGGTCATTGTTGGTTAAAAAGAAAGAGGCACCAGATTTGCACTAACTTTGCCATCATCCCACCCCGAAGACGACCAAAACTAGTTCTGTAGGATCTCCCCCGTGCCCTCCAGCTCAAGCTGCAAGGAATTCCCACTACACCTCAGACACAGAATGCTGAGATCAAGATTCCTGTGAAACCTAAAATGACGCACTCAATGGCTGGCTTAAAAATAGTCTGGGGTCCCAAAAAAGAATCCTAAAAAGTGATGAGCAAATGCAACAATTAAAGTCATTCTCACTGCCAGTCTCTGTGAAAACTCCTATTTCATTCAGCTCCACCTCTGAACATTTAATTCTTTTCACTGGTAACAGATCTGGGGTCAGTTTTTGCCAATGCAGTAGAGCAGCATCTGCAATTTCCTTGGTGGTGTAAAGAGTAACAGTACAGGTAATCAATGTGCGTAAATAAAAACCTGTGATGCTGAAACAGGGAGGGGAGAAGTAGAAACTCAGAAATACCAGGTCCCTGGTGGCGATGGTGGCGTCCCAGAAAATTCCCCCCAAACTCCAAATGAATTTTGTTAACTATATGTTTACAAAACTGCAGGGGCTTCTAAGTAATTTCATCACTGCATCTTTTCTATTGAATTTCTAAACAATGATGATCCAATACGTCCAGGGTCACCTACATCCAACAGGTGGGGTGAATTTCCAAAATGATGTTGGAGGTTTCACCCACAGGGCTGCCCCTGGCAGAATAAACAAATCCAACAGCAAGATCACATTGTAAGATATAAGATGAAAGGAAATCGTTCTGATTCCAACCCCAAATTGCCACAGAAAGGGCAATTAAAGCTCTCCCACCCAAAGACAGGAATACTTCAATTCCATCTTCCACATAAAAAATACACGGTTTTGTTTGCATGGACTTTTTAAAAATTTTTTATGAGAATCTTAAGCATTCTGTCAGGGCATGAACAGGAGCTCATTTTATGCTCTAGAGATATATTTTGAACTACCAAAGGTAAAACAGCATATCTTCAAATACAGTGAGCAATGTAAACACAATCTAGGGGGAAAGGATCATGAGTAAATTAAAACAACAAATATTTATCGAGCGCCTGGGCCTTAATACTGAGAGGCCCCTGTCGGAGAGCTCCCTGAGCTTTCTGTGAGAAGCAGAAAGATGCAATTACAGTCTTCCTGAAAAATAAGCAATTAATCACACACTGCTTCAGATTAATTGCAATGCCTGAGAGCCCTCAAATCATTCTGCCTTTGCCCCTGAAATCTTATTCCCTCACGTCCTTCCTGGTTGTTCAGATCAATGATTAGCACCCCAAGCAAGCTTTCATTCTGAGCCAGCTCGCCCACTGCTAACCAGAACTAGAACTCTCCACGCACCTCCGTCCAGTCCGACAGGTGACCTTCACCGTGCTGTGTGTGTCAAGGTTAAGCTGCCCACTAACCATGCATCCTTTAACATTGGGCCTCCAATTCTGCCCTGCTCTTCGATGCTGGTACAAAACCTCCCAGCCCTGCTGGGCCATTTCAAATCCATCTGATGGCACATTCAACAGCTAGTGAGCTTTCTGCCTCTCCTCCCATTATCTAGATTGCTTTGGGGATGCAGAGCAAATTAGCCCGAAAGGTACAGCCAACACCACCAAAATCCAACCCCCAATTTTAATCCCAGCCCCCAGGGAGAGAGGAAAGAAGGGTCCCCTCGGTCTCTTGCAACACAAACAGCTCTCTCAAATTCTATCGCAGCCCACAACACTACCTCCCATCAAGTGCCCAGTTCTCCCCAGTTGTCTGAAATCTTTCCAGGAACATTACTGTCAAAATAGCACCCATGGGGAGACACTATCCAAGAACCTACATGACATTCCCTCAATTCAATATCTGAGCTACGAGCACAACAAATCAGGACTAAATGCTGCCAAGAGAAGATCAAATTCTGCTTGTTTTCTAAGTGGGCAGCGACCGATCACCCAACATTACCCCGAGAGGCTCCAAGTGAGGGAGCTGGGGCATCGGGGGAATAACACAGCCAGTCCAAGACCTTCCCAGGGAACTTGAACCTCTGAACGCAGAATGTCATCGGATCAGGAGAATGAAGCAAGACACTGAGCTCTGACATCCACAGAGGCTACTGCATTTTAGAGAAATTCCAGGAGGCTGGAAGCCAGGGACCTCCCCCCACCCAATCCCATCCCCAAGTCCCAAGTGCCGTACTAATGCGTTTTTCTTTAGCTTTTTCAAGAATGGAGAAAGACTGATCATGTCAAGACGTTTACAGTAATATTTATACTTCCATTTTCTAGTCTCCCGGTTTGTTTTTTCCCTTGTGAAGCCCAGTTTCTGTGAATCAATGACTTGGCTACATCATACTCCCTCCTGGTGGCTCACAGTAACGGGGCTCTCTCTGGCTGCCAGTGCTTTGACGGCTCAGAGGCTCAGCTGCCGGATTCCCCAGTCTTGCAGCAGACTTTGAGCTGAGCCAAGTACCATCTCTCTGTTAGAGCTGTGGTACAGCCACTTGCAGCTCAGGTAACCCCATCCGGAAACCTTTAGCTCGTGAGAAACGGATTTTAGGATTCTTTCAATACTGCCAAGAGAGCAACCTCCATCCACCCACCTGAGAGATAGAGGGCTACACAGATGGAAAAATAGATAGACAGCTCATCTTAACCCTGCACGTTCCTCCCTGCACCGAGGCTCTGCACTGCTAGGTATCTCCCACTATCTCCTCCCCTCTAAAGAAGACCAAAGACTGAAAAACTAACCCAAAGTACCCGATTGACAATTATGATGCTATGGATAGGAAGAGGTACCTTAAACACAGCAAAATGAGAATATGAACAGTCTACCCCTCCCAAAGCCCAACCAGGTCAACTGCTTTCCAAACGCAAGCTGATTAACAGCTTTCCTCCACTGCACTCCCCCCAGGCTGCCACTGCCACCGCCGCCACCTTTGAGCTCTATGCTTTGCATCAATGCAGGTCCCTTAGAAAAGTCAAAATTTCACTTACTCAGATCTACCAAGAATTCCCAGTGCCTTGCTATACGAAAACCCCACAAATGGCAGCTCTTCTCCTGAGAAACCTGAGGGGTTCAGCTGGCACGGAGAGGATGAAACCCACGAATTCTTCTCTGGTTCATCAAAATTGGAGGTGTCATCATCAGACTTGAGGGTGGGAACGAAGGGGGGAGGAGCTGGTTAAAGAAAAACAAGAAGGGTGGGGGGGGGAGAAAAATTCAGACGGATTCAACACTGTTGCGGAGAAGAAAATCGTCTCACTCCTTCAGCGTTCCCGATGGCACTGCAGCGCCTGCTTTCAATCTAGCTCACACACAGGCAGACCCAGCCTCTGCTTGGCTCTTACAGCAACAAGAGATTAACCCCTTCCCTGCCAACATGGCCACCAACCCGCAGACGGGCTGCCTTCCCTGCTGGGGTAAACTGAAGGGTAAACTCAAACAGGTCACTTGGTAGAACGAAAAGCACCTGGGGAACTCGTTTGAGCAAGCCACTCGTTCCTGATATTTCCAGAATGATGCTACAGAGCATCAGATGGCTGGTGTACCAGATGACCTAAACCTATTTATTTCCTCTTCCAGACAGGTCCAAATTATTAATATTTAGTGCTAATCATTGGGATAAGATGGAATTTCTACATTTCGTGGATTAACTGGAGTGAGAGGAAAGAACAGGAGAGAGAGTTTGGGAGGCATGTAACTCATGTTAGGATAGCTCTGCAGTCTAGCCCATTCATATCCGGATGAGTATACTCGGAGCACTTATGTACCACTTTTTTTTTTTTTTAAGTTCATTATCCCTCCTCCCCAGCTCGATCATGCCCCTGAATCCGCCGCAGTTTAATCAGCATAATGAAATGCCAGCCAGATAAAGTTCTTCCCGATGATGTACGGCACCCCTGTGCACTGATGGTGTGGATGGATGGCTGCGTCCTACCTCATTAAGGCATGACTCCTGGCTAAGGACGTCTTACATCTTCTCCACTTCCTGCGGACCTACTAAGCTCTCTCAGTCAGGGAGTTGGACACTCGTTCATTGGTCACCAGGAAGCCGCCCACTGTGGTGGGCTCCCAGGGGTATAGCCAGCCAGAAGCGTTACCATGGCTGCGGGCTGAGGCGTCTATGGTAGGTGGGCCGGGTAAGCTGGAGAGCCGGGCATCACATCCCCCGCAGTGCAGGCTTCATGCTCCCCACTCTGTGCGTGCGTGGTCTGGCGGCAACCCCGCCTGGCCACCTGCGTGGCAGGGGCCAGTGCTGATCTGAGTGACAGAGCAGCATGAGTCACGGCCAGAGCTCTGGAGAGCGCCCCCTAGGACAGTTGTCACAGCCCTTCCCAGCCCAGGCTTCTTTCTTAACTCCTTGCTTTCTGCACAAAAGCTGTGTGCCAGATAGGAGCAGCAGTCTATTTTCCGCTTACAGACTCCAAAGAATCTGGCTGTTTCCAAAGTTCCCCAATGACAACAACATTGGAAGCAGCAGGCAGCATCAGGAAGGAGACAAAGGTAAAGGGATGTGGAGTGGCAGGAGATGAAGCCAGAATGAGGAGGTCTGGCAGCTCCCGGGAAATGCAAAAAAGAACATTCTCAGAACTCAGGTGCATAGAGATGTGGTAGGAGACTGAAAAACGTAAAATGTACACTTCCCAAAAATTATTTAGCACCTCGAAGCTCTCAAGAGAATTTAAATCTTCCCTGTTAGTATCAGAATCTACTTGCTTAACATGTTAAAAATTAGTTGATGGAAAGAAAAATTACATTGAATGCTTCAGCCCACCTCCCATGTGTACTTTCCATCAACATGGGCTCAAATCCAATTGGATTTCAATTACCCAATATCTTTTTTTAAAGCAAAAAGAAAAAGAAAAAAAAACACCTTTTGATGGAAATTATACTTCATGAGGATAAAAAAGAGAAGTTTCCCATCCCAAAATAAGGAAACTCAGGTAAAGACTGAGGAAATGTATGGAAAGAGATTTGCAGATGATATTAATATGGAACCATCATGGCTGGTGGCACATACTTTGACTAAGTGGGTTCAAACCACAGCTCCACCACTTACCAGCACTGTGACCTTGGGAAAGTGCCTTAACCTCTCTGAGCCTCAGTTTCAACATATAGATAATTTCCTCAAAGGGCTGCTGGGAGGTTTAAATGAAAGAAATCTATATAAAGTGCTTACTGGTACAGCTCTTAGCATACAGTAAACACTCCATAAAGACTACTTGCTATTAGAGCAGGAATCAAGAGGCAGACATAGAGAATAGACTTGAGGACTTGGGGTGGGAGGGAGAAGCTGGGGCAACGTGAGAGTAGCATAGACGTATTTACACTACGGAATGTAAAATAGTGTAAATATGCTGCTGGTGGGAAGCAGCAGCATAGCAAAGGGAGATTGACTCCGTGCTTTGCGATGACCTAGAGGGGTGGGATAGGCAGAATGGGAAGGAGGCCCAAGAGGGAGGGGATTTGCTTTGTTGTGCAACAGAAACTAACACAGTATTGTGAAGCAATTATACTCCAATAAAGATCGATTAAAAAAAAAAAAGACTACCTGCTGCTGTTATTGCCCACATGACAGATGTTTATGACAGATCCTGCAGTTAGAAGGCTAGTGAGATACAGCAGAGTCTGTGTTGAGTATTCTTTCCTGCACAAGACACAGATACTCACGTGGATGTTTGTGTTAATTGTATCATTTCATTCTTAGCAGAAGTTTAATTCCCTTTCCACTATATACTAATTTATCTTTGGGAGACTGAAATAGAATTTCATTTCTGAGTGAGGAGTATGATTAATATAGGGGCAGGAGCCACCCTCTGTGAAATAACTATGACTGAGAAATTCCGTACCATAAATAAGATCCCCTTTAAAACTCCATCACACTCAAGGCTAGCCCATGTAGTCGAGATAAGATAAAGGGCCAGGTACTCTTCAATAACAGGGAGGAGAAGTCAACATGAAATGCCCCAGCTGGTAATAAGCGAGATACTCACAGGACAGATGAAAAGCTAAGAATGTCAGAGCCTCTAGACAGGTAGTCAGTTGGGTACAATGGGAAACTCTGAAAAGAGGGGCTTCTAGGGGCCACATCTGGGCAGGGAAAAGAGCCACAGCCTCAAGCTTAAGAGAAGTGGGGGAAGTAGAAATCCTCAACCTAAGAGAAAGTGGTGGATGCTCACCCTTGTCCAGGGCCCTTTAGAAGAGAAATAGGGCAGCTATTAAAACTGTAGCCCCAGGTACGATGTCTGCGTTTACAGTATTCTACATGGTGAGGGAACTATAAGCCAAGAAATTATCAGCAATATTGGTCCAGGATCCCTTAGGGCACTGGCAGATGTAAGTGGAGAAAAATCTGTAGGACCACGTTCACAACCCAGGGCACACAAGACTCCTTCTCTCCCTCCCTCCCTCCCTCCCTCTTACACTAACACACACACACACACACACACTCCCAACTAGAAATGAGCTCACAATAAAAAGTAAAAACCAACAACTACACATAACAAGAAAAAAGAAACCACCCAAACTACCACGAAGGAGCATCAGCAGATACAAAAGTGGGAGAATTAGCCCCAAAATAACTGCAGATAAGAGGACAATCTAAAATGGACCATAAAATAAATTTTCATTCATTATCAAGGTAAATGAGTAGAAATTCTAATAAAAGAACAAGATACTCTGGAGAAAACACAAAGCACATTTGAAAGGAACCAAATGGAACTTTTAAAAATGAAAAACATGATTGCTGAATTTAAAGTTTAAAACTCACTGGCTGCATTAAACAGATTAGACACAGCTAAAGAGAAAGCTGATGAACTAGCAGATAGATCTGAGGAAATCACAGAACCACGCTTCACAGGGTGTGATCTGTAGACTTGCAGCATCAACAGCATCACCAAGGAGTTGGTTAGAAATACAGAATGGCAGGCCCTACACCATGCCCACTGAATCAGCACCTGCATTCTAAAAAGATCCCCAGGTGATTTGTGAGCACACTGCAGTTGGAGAAGTGCTCATACAGAATGCAATACACAGAGACAAAGAGACAGGAGACAGAGAATGAGAAGGTTCAATATACCTCTAGTAGGAGCACTGGAAAGAGAATAGAGAACTAGCTCAAAATCTGGATGCCACATTTTAAAGGATTATATAATCTAAAGATTATCAAGTATGTGACCAAATCTATCTTGGGGGGTTAATTCTCCTCTTTCTTGTACCTTATGGAAAAAGTCCCTTTTTTGACCCTCATAAAACATGATTTTTTCCTTATTTTTGCTTTAAAAAAGGTATTAGTAGGTCACTGAAATAATTGGATTTGCATCTACGTTGATGGAGGTATACAATGCACCTAAGAACATAGCACAGTGCCAGGCACATAGCAGGTGGACAATAAATACATGCTGAATAGATAACAAACCCAAAACAATTAAGAAAATGGGAATAGGAACATACATATCGATAACTACCTTAAATGTAAATGGTTTAAATGCTCCCACCAAAAGACACAGACTGGCTGAATGGATACAAGAACAAGACCCATATATATGCTGTCTATAAGAGACCCACTTCAGACCTAGGGACACATACATACTGAAAGTAAGGGGATGGAAAAAGATATTCCATGCAAATGGAAACCAAAAGAAAGCTGGAGTAGCAATTCTCATATCAGACAAAATAGACTTTAAAATAAAGATTATCAGAAGAGACAAAGAAGGACACTACATAATGATCAAGGGTTCAATCCAAAAAGAAGATGTAACAACTATAAATATTTATGCACCCAACACAGGAGCACCTCAATACATAAGGTAAATACTAATAGCCATAAAAGGGGAAATCGACAGTAACACAATAATAGTAGGGGACTTTAACACCCAACTTTCACCAATGGACAGATCATCCAAAATGAAAATAAATAAGGAAACACAAGCTTTAAATGATACATTAAACAAGATGGACTTAATTGGTATTTATAGGACATTCCATTCAAAAACAACAGAACACACATTTTTCTCAAGTGCTCATGGAACATTCTCCAGGATAGATCATATCTTGGGTCACAAATCAAGCCTTGGCAAATTTAAGAAAACTGAAATCATATCAAGTATCTCTTCTGACCACAACGCTATGAGACTAGATATCAATTACAGGAAAAGATCTCTAAGAAATACAAACAC